TTTGCAAAAGCCTGTGCTCGTCAGGGTGTAGCTGCCACGTGTTGCGAGGTGTGGGGGGGTGTGTTTCATTTGTCAAGGTTGGATGCTTTGTTCATAGAGCTATGAACGTGGGGGAAGGTTATTTTTCAAAACTACTGAAGCATGAATCTTGTAGTATTTATTACTTTTGCTAGATAATATATTAATATTAGCGGGTTCATCTGAGATAAAAAGTTCTACTCTTGATGAGTATTTCCAATGAAATTGGTGCAAACAATTGCTAGTAATAATGAAGAATTTGGGCTGGGGGGAAAGCAGTCAGGAAGGAAATTCTCATTCTCTGAAAGAGCAGAAAGCCTGGATGGCACCTGAAAATGTTTTCCCGTGCTATATACAGTAACAGGAAAAATGGAGCAAGAAAATGGAGTTTCTTGGATTCAAAGGTGAATCAAAAGGAATTGGCTTCTGCCTGGACAAGGCAGCCAGAGAGGCCACAGTAACAGATCCACGTGATAAACCAAGAGGCAACTGCAGAGCTCCCCAGACAACTTGCCTGAAGTGCCTGCCAAGGAGGCAGATGCTGCTGCTGGAAGAATATCTTCCACAGTTGGGCATCTGGGTTCAGCGCTTTCCACGGAAGGGAGAGGGATGGGAGCGTCAGGCTGGCCCCCGTCTTCCCGTTTAATTATTTCTACATCCATTTTACACTTTGGTAAATAACACGTGTTATCCTGCTTTTGTGAGGGAAAAGAATAAGCAAGGAGAGGGTTTTTTTTTCCCATAATATTTCCCTTTGCAGGGGTGTCTATGTGGATGGGTAGAGAGGGATGCGAGCCTGGTCAGATGTGAGACAGCTCGGGTCTGGGAGTCGCAGAGCTGCCTCGCGGTGGCACGGAGCTCAACCTAATAAGCAGAGCAGGCTGAGATTCATTAATTTAACATTAATAAGCACAGCTTATTAGCTGAGGCACAGTGCTGGTATAATGCAGGCACACAGCTTCTGCAGCAGAGCTGGGTCTGCCCTCGCCAGCTCGGAGCGTGGTGCAGAGGAACCAGCCAGGGCACTGCTCTCTGCTACTGCACTTTGCATTATTTTTTGCAGTTGCTGCAGAAGCTTCTGTGCCCTTAAAAAAAAAAAACAAAAAAAACCTTCCATGTTTTTAGATTGTATTGTTGGCTTAGGCTGTGTGTATAAGCCATTTAAAATTCTTGTGCCTCAGTTTCCCAGTGGGTGTGTAATAGCTGCCTCAAAGATGCTGCTGTGAAATAAAATACTGTGGGAGCCTTAAAGAGTGAAATAACCCTTCTACCTCATTTGAATTATAGGTTTGTGAGTAGAGTATTGAGTACAAATAGCGATTTATTAGATAGGGGTTGGCTGCTCAGTTCACTTTTGTGCAGAGAGCCAATACAAGGTTTCTGCATCATTTCATGTCCTGTGTATGCCTGCAGTATAGGACCAGGGAGGTCTGTCAGTTTTATCTGGTACCTGCAATTATCTCTTTCTGCTTGGGAGTAAAATTAACTTGTAAATGAACAACACAAAACAGTGGAGTTCTGGAGACTGGAGGATCTGTTTTCACAAATGTATGGGACAGCAATATACGGGCTATATAGAGCAAGCAAATATTCTCTAAACACATTCAAGTAGAACAGGCTGTTTTCTGCAGCCCTTTATTTGGGAAAATCCTTACTCAGATTGGGTTTTGGTGTTTCTTTCATGTGTAAAGTTTAATGTTTGTCTGATTTGATCATCTTTGGGAAGAATTATTGAAAGCGTAATAGTAGTTGTGCTCGATTGTTTTCAGTATGAGTCCTAATAAAACTATTTCTGATGGTATTAGACTGACGAGTTGTGTGAGGTGTCTGCTAAGCCTCATATTTTCTCTCTTCTGATTATGAGTAGTAGAACAATTTTCCTGCAAAGCTGAACAAGTGACACCCGTGGGGTTTTTTTCATCAAATTAAAAAAAAAACTTAAAAGAGCAGGTAGTGCAACCCAAGCTTTGCTTTTAATCCCTCTCCTGTAGGCCTCATACGCTGCCCTGTGACTTCTTGCAACTTCAGAGGGCTTGGTTTCAGAAAGATGTATGGCACTGGTGTTAATCCCTGCTGCCAGACCTTTCTCGCAGACTCTCATCAGCTGCTTTGTCTGGGTTTCTGAAGAAGGACCCTTCTGAGGTGCATTTCACATTGTTATTTGGGCTTGATCTGGACCCACTCCCGCAGAGTGAAACCATAGTGCAGCCTCACTGCTGTCAGTGATTTAGGGTAAACATACCCTTCTGAGAGAAGGTCGGATTCTCGTGCTGATCTCCTACATGTCAATGAGATGTACTCTCAATGTGCTATGCAGTCCTTTTCCCCATCAGAAGCTCAGTTCAACACTGGGCAAGAACAGCCAGCTCCACCAACAGATACAGAAACTGCAGTAATATGCCTCAAATCGAACCAGTTTACTTATTTTTTTCAGCAAAATAGAGACTTTTGACCTTCCAGTGATTTATGCTGAGCAAACCCTGTGATTGAAGAGGATGGCGCAAGGTACGAGTCAATGGTGAGGTTGGTGCATCGTGCACATTGGCACCCCGATTCTGCAAAGTATCCCTAAAAATGATATAATTCTACCTTTTGTAACATCTGAAAACTAGTCTTGTTTCCTAACTTATTATAAATAAATCCATATTGTCTATATTTACATAACATAAATATTTTGACATTACTGACAACATATGTAAGCCTCTTTATTCTCATTTACAGAACCATGAGGTCATTCAGACTGGCCCCACTCTTTCACATTGACAAGTGCAAGAGAATATACCAGGTTTTACCTTTTTTTTTTTTTGTTGGTGTTTTCAGCATCTATTCTGTTGCTGCTTCCATGTCAATGGCGCAAAGCGTATGGAATAGTCCTGTCCTTCCCTGGGGAGGTGTTTGTGTGCCAGAGAAGACTGACCTTCTTCAGAGAGACACAGATGATTGCTTCTATAATGGTCAGACCCCTAAACGGCTCAAAAATCCCACCTTCCTGCCTTCCATCGCTCTGTGCCGCTATATCGCATTAGTATACCTCTACCTTCGCCATGGTTTCTGCAACACCCAGGTAACAGGTATCTTTAGATAGCTCTATATGGGTTGAATTGTAGTCAAGCTCAGTATTTTGTACATATGTGTGGACAATATGCATTATGAAGTATTGTTATTTTATTGTCTGTATTTTAGTGTGGGTTTTTTTTTTCTCCTTTTATTTTCTTTTCTCCAAAAAACACCGGTCTTTGCCCACTTTGCCAGTTATTCTGCGCATACGCAGCAGGAAAAAAGTGCATGTCCCAAACAGATTACGCTCTAAAAAGCCAAGCCAGACAAAGGAAGTATTATCATCATTTTGTAAACAAGGAACCAAGGCACAGAGAGATTAAGTGATTTACCCAAGGTCACCCAGAACATCCAGTCAAAGCCAAGAACTGAACCCATGTCTCCTGAGTCTCAATCAAGTGATTTAACTATGAGATCAAAGACTTATTGCGTATACCTGATATCTCTCCCCTAAGACATGGTAACAACACTTTTTTCAGGTTAGGATCAATGCCACATATGGTGCAGTAAATTTTGTATATGGCATATCTGTGTTGACAGTGTGTACCCACTTCTTGCACTCAGATCCTTCCCGGGAAATAATTTCCCTTATTATTCTTCCATTGACAGTAATAAATTATCATCCTTCTCTAGATAACCCTCTGAAGGAGAGAATGTGTGCTCACGGTATATCAGATGAATACGTAGAAAACTCTTTTCCTACAAAGCTAAAGAGTCATTTTATAAGCTAAAATTCTTCCATGCTCAATGAAATGAGGACATTCCCATGACTATATGGACCTCATTTTGCACTTTCAACTGGAAGGTGCAGAACAAGATGAAGGATATAAAATATATCAGTATAAAGGCATCATTCCTTGTAATCTTAGAATAGTCTTTTATTTGGAGTTTTTATTACTCACTCATTGGGTCACTGTATCATTCCTGGGATTAAATACTCCTCTGTGCACAGGGCTTTCATGGAGCCCTAGGTCCTACGTAGTCCCTTCAAGGTTAAGAGTAGTTTGGCTGAAAAGTGCCTGTGCAAAGTGGCACTGGTTAGTGCCAACAGCAGGACAGCCACGAAGGCAGGGACAGGATCCTGCCCTTCACGTGCCTCTGTCTTGAGGTCTATCTACCACTTCTGTGCAGTCATCCTGCAAGTCAAACTGCTGCAGGTTGGTTTCTGAGTGAGCAGGTGGTCTATGGACGTTTTTACTCCTAATGCCATGAAACACGAGAAGAAAACTCAAGGTGAACATGAGATCTCAGGTTGACTTTGTGGGCCCACATCTCTTGTAAATGGAGCTCAATGAATGTGAAAACCGAGAGAAATGATGAGACGGAGCCTCACAGTGTCATTTTTCTGCCTCTGTGGTATCTCAGCAACATTAGGAGAGCAAAGCTACACTTCCAAATCTCTCCTCTGCATTGCTTAGATGTTCTGTGTTGTCACAAGCTTCCCTGTGAGGTACAAGAGCTCATAATGTGTTTTCTTGGGTGAGGTTATTTTGATCATTATGTGTCTCACACATCACAAGAACAGCAAATGAGATTGAATGGCAGGGTTCTCAGTGGTGAAAACATGATGTTCAAAAAGTCTATTGGTGGAGAAAGTAGAACTAAACTGGACAAATGCAATACTGGAACATGTTGCATTTGCCCAATTCAATCTACCTCAAGCATAGTAATCCCAACGTGTCTGGACTGCAATGAAGGAAAGAAACTGTTCTGCTTTCTAGTAGAGGAAAAATCTGGGTCTTTGCTTCAACATACTGATTTCTTGAGCAGAAATTGGACATACATAGATACCATAAATCATGTTCAGTTTTGCCAAAGAACGTAATTATCTTTGGTATTTTGGATGATATTTCCCATTGGATTTGGACATTACACACTGATTTCTTTTAAAATTATTGATCTGTTATTACCACAGTTCTACTTACTTCTTTAGGTGTTCAAAGAGGATTTTCATTGTGTCATAGTTTGGTTTAGGGAGCTTTTTTACCAGGCTCCTTATGGATTTGATGCGAGTGGCGTTGTCCTGGATTTCTAAGGGGAAAAAAAAAAAAAGAGAAGATAACCACTTGAGTGCCATATTAGGACATTACTTTGCCCAGTACTGTCTCTGGTACCTTAACAAGAAAAGCCATCATTAATATAAGGTTAAAACCGGATTATATCATACCTTCTGTCATCTTAATAGAGAGCAAGAGTAATTTACAAGGGTTAAAAATTCTCACTTAATATTAAGGAAGCACCTCTGGTTCACAAAATAATATTTATATTATTTTCATGTATTTTATTAGACTATTAGTCTCTCATCCTGAGCTAAAGCACCTCCAAGTAGTAAGGGCTGAACATCTTAAGTGCAATTCCACTTTAGAATCATATTTGTCCAATAATGCAGCTTCTGTGATGGATGCACTTCCCAGGTAATCCTTGTTGTCCTTTTTTTCTCATGATAATTTCATCAGATCTATTTATGAATCTTTAACAGTACACCGCAGCACATCTGAAAATATAAAATGATTTACTATTCTTTTCAGTTGTGCTTTCTGGTGATCCATTAGTTCAAGAAACTATTCCAGTGCAGCTATTTTCTAATACCTGTAGTATCTCATAACTGGAATTTCTGCAGGAAACAATTTGTATTTCAAACTTACAATTAGTGATGCAGAATGCAGTGCTAAAAAGTATCGCCTTTTGAGGTGATATTGCTATCCTTTTTGTTAAGATGTACCTCCCTGTTTTAGCATGATTCATAGCTTCATGGGAAAGGATTGACTGATATTTTCATTGATTTGTATAAGATGTTGCAACTGAAGCAAAGTCGTGTACAACCGTGCTTTCATTTTGGAACAGATTAGATAAGGTGCCAGTAGGTCTGACGTAGGGAAAACATCTTGCATGTTACATGCCCTAGATAACCTGAGAATACTTTTTTGATCTTATCATCTATGATTTAATTATCACCTATCATTCTTCGTATATGTTCTTTTTTAATATTCATATTACCCTAACACCCAGAGATCTCAATCAGGATTGAATCCCAGTTGCAGGAGGTGCTGCATAAGCATACATGGTGATTAGAGCCTTGATTCAAAGATTTCACCAAAAAAAAAAAAAATTCAAGTAAAAATTTCCTGCAATTGAACTGAATTTAAGAATTAAAATTCATAATATTCCTTTCTCAGCATGTATCCCTAATTCCTGTTGAGATTAGTACTTCATCCACACAGATACAGATGTATATGCCTATATTGTTTATAATTTGAACATTTATATAGATCAGAAAGACTAGAGCTCAAAGTAGTCAAAATGTAGGTAATATTTTCCAGTAGAAAAACTCCAGACTTTTATATGGATTTATTCTATAGGAAATCATGCAGTAGCAGCAATGAAGTTACATACAGATGAAGAATACAATTTCTGTGTATTTTACTCTTGTTCTGGTTCAACCTATACAAAGTTTTAACTTCTGAACAGCACAAACTCCCCCAGTCTTCTTGCAAACCAGTCATCCCTTGATGTTTTCTGCCACAAGCCATTAGCACTGTTTATTTTTGTCCTATAGACGATCTGTCCAGTGGAAATATGACTGAAGATAAAAATGGAAACGATACAAAATTTGCAGAAGTTAATTTATTGTAGGAAGGCGGTGCAAATTCAATGGGGTTTTTATTTGTCCTGTATGGTGTGCGTATAGGCTTTGATCTTACCAGATAAGTTATATTTAGATCGGGGCTGCCCTGGTTGTTGCTTATCGCAACTTCTCAAATAAAGCTTCTCAAATAGTAGTATTATTATTATTTTTTTTTTAATTCTGTTTTCTCCTGAGAATTTAATGGACTTGAGTGGAACTGAACCACT